AGATGGTCCAAGCACCCAAGTGCTTGGGCCCTTGCCACCCACACAGGCAACATGGATGAAGCTTCTGTTTTCTGGCTTTGGCCTGGCTTGGTCCTAGCAGTTTCAGCCATCTGGATAGTGAACTAGCAGATATAAGCATTCTCATTCTCTCTCTCTTTCTCTCTCTCTAACTCTGTCTTTCAAGTAATTAAATCTTTTTTAAAAACAATTAGTAAGTTCAAAAGGAATAAGCAGGTTTGGGAACAAACCTAAGTGACTCTTGGGAAGCCCAATGTGAACTGGTAAGAACAGAGATACCTAAGTATATTAAAGAATGTTCTGCTGGTCTCGAGAGTTCACCCTTACATGTCCTCCATCCAGATAGCATCCAGACAGCAGGTTCTATCATTCAATGGTCCCTGGCGCCAAGAAATTTTACTTCTCTTCTCCTATACTTGTATCTAGCTAACCAATAGTTTTAAAACTCTCAAGAAGACAGAATTGGCCATTTACCAGTGTCATTAAGATGTGCACTACCTTACTGTATGGTAGTTTGAAATAATATTTCATTGAGGCATGTTGTAAATCCTATTAGGAAAGGAAACAGCAAGCATTTTTTTTTTAAAGAGCCAGATAGTAATTAATACTTCTGTGGGATTTTTTTTTGGGGGGGGGGGTGGGAATCTTATATGAAAAACAGGTCAGCCACCATTTTTCTGTCATGGCTTAATTACTCTTCACCAACACTAGCAGAACATTCTCTAATATACTTAGGTATCTCTGTTTGTATCAGTTCAGCTTGTGCTTCCCAAGAGTCACTTGAGTTTGCTTCTAAGTAGAACAGGCAACATTATTGTCTCTCTCACTGGTTACTAATTCATTACTTACAGCAATTAACATTTATTTTTAAACGTTTAAAATGTGGCAGATACTATGCTAAGTGTTTATGTGCGTTATCTGGTTCAATCCTCTCGACAAGCTTACATTATAATTACTGTTATTACTCCTTTTACAAATAAGGAAATTGAGACTTGTACAGATAAAGTAATTTCCCAACAATTAGTAAACAGTAGAATCAGAATCTAAAGTTAAGAAGACTAACTTTGTGGTTACGATAGTATGCTACTTCAGCTAATGCTTTTAGTTAAATGCTCCAAGCACATATACTTACTGGTATGATCAATAGATCATACCAGTAAGAATGCTGACTTTCTAAGTTAGTGCCAATTTATAAAATCCTCAGAGACATATGCATCTTAAAGGAGTATCTGATAATATCTTAGTCCAATGAATGAAATTGTAATATAATATTGGACACTGATACCAAAGGTATTTTGGAACGGATACCAGATCTTAAGCATCGCAAGTATAAAATTAGAAAACACTATTATACTCTTCCAGTAAGGAAGCATAAGGCTATCTTAACTATGGAATAGACATGAAACAAACACATTACCTTAAGAATGTAACAATTTTTCTCATTAAACATTAAATAATAAATCATATTATAAAATGGGAGGTTAGCAATGGAGTGGGCCACAAAGGTGCTTGGGGTAGACTGAAGGTGACTAGAGGAATTATAAGCAGAGAAAAATGCACAATCCAGAAGGTAACCATATGGTAACTAAGAACAACAGAGGCAGGAAGGTAATGGTAGAGGTTTACAACAAGGGGTAATACGCAATAGTATCCCAGAACACAGCATTTAGAAAAAGCCTAAAATGCCTAACAAATGTGCCCTCTTACTCTCTAAATTAAAAAAAAAAAAACCTCTAATTCCTAGATTTGACCAGAAGTGGTAGAGATTATCGAGGATAAAAATGAGGGAGAAGGTGGAGAAGCTATGCTTTGGAGATGGAAAGGCCTACACATGGAAAACAAAGGGCACAGAGGCTGTAGCTGCCATCATAAGGCTTGGGTCAAAGACCTATCACCAGGGAGGTGTTTGACCTTGCTACTAAGAGCTCCTTGTAAGATGCTCACAGCCTGTATCAGAGTGCCTAGGATTGAGTCCTGGCTCCACTCCTGATTTCAGCTCCTTGCTAATGCAGACACCAGGAGGCAACAGATAACGGCTCAAGTGGCTTGGTCCCCGCCACCCAGACAGGAGACCTGGAATGAGTTCCTGACTTTGGCTGGCCCAACTCCAACCACTGCAGGCAGTGAACCAGTGGATGGGAGCTCTTGCTCCATCTGCCTCTGTCTCACTGTCTCTCAGATAAACTTAAAAAAAAAAAAAGATATTCTGACTTTTAAAAAGCCTATCATCTGGGTGATGATGAAGGACATAGATAATGCTTGCTATCAAGTAGGTACTATTCAAAGTGCTTTAAATACAGTAAGCAAGTAAGTACTCACACTCACCCTATGTGATTGGGGATTTTTATAGTCACCACCTGTGAAGTGAATGCTGCAGCACAAAATAAATGGTAAAATGGCCAAATTCACATAGCAAATGGTGGTGCAGCTGGAGTGAAACCCAAGGTAAAATAGCTCCATGATCTACACTTTCTTAACTACTTAGTTTTAAGTGATTTATTTGGCTTAGCTGTACTGTGACAAGCAAGTAACTGGCAGTAGCCTCAATCTAGGCCAGGCAGAGAGGTCAAAGCATGGATACAGCAACCACGGCAGCCTTGGACAAACTGGATTATCAGCAACACTTGTGAGGCAGGAACTTGAGCATGAAAAATCAACTGAGTAGAAGTGACAATAACTTTCTTACTATATTAATTTAAACATTTTAAACTAGTAAATTAAGCTCTTTCAATCATTGGGACCTGAACTGCATGTAATTTATGTAATTCTGATCATAAATCTTGCTCATCCACAGGGACTTTCATTCATTTTTCAATATAAAAGTAAAATAATTGAAAATTAAGGCTGCACCACTGGAAGAAAGGCTGAGAGGATGCGTGTGGTGCAGCAGTTAGGATGCTGCTTGGGATGCTGCAGCCCTTCTCACAGCCCCTGGGAGTCAGTCCCAGTGCCACTTTGGACTCAGCTTCCTGCTAAAACACACGGGAGGTCAGCAAGCAGTCCCTGTCACTCATCTGGGAGACTCAAAATGTTTCATTTTCTCTCTCTTTGCATTATAATAAACAAATGAATTTTTAGGTGCTTATAAGACTTATCTAGAACAAAAAATAATTTAGACAATTTTGATATTAGGCTTTAGATAAAAATGTACACTTTACATGAATGTAAGTTTCTGAACTATTAGCATAATTATCTTTGAAACAATATAACAAAATTCTTATGTACTAAACACAGAGATTCTCAAGCATGGACTAGGAAAATAACTTGTGATTTGCAATATGCTACTCTAATCTCATACAAGAAATAAAATCGGTAAACTTCAGTAAGATCTTGAAACACACTCTCAGGAAATTGCCTTTCTACTTATTTTTTATCATTGAGTAAAGAAAATAAGCCAAACCTGTGCCCATAAAATGTCCTAGGATATAAGCCTAATATTCTAAATCCAGCTTATAAAGCATAGGCCTGTTAGTCTACTTAGGTGGCACACAGGAAAGGGAAAAATACATATACTGTTTGTGGACAAACTGCAAATGGTACAGCCTTCCTATATGGCAGCAATGGTTTTAGGGCTCTGTAAGCAGAACTGTGCTGGGGTGCCCATGTGGTCTCAACAAAAACACGGACACAAAATTAAAGTAAATTAATTTTAAAATAAAACTGCTGGTGAAAAGAAAAGAGAAGAGGGAAGGAGAGTAGAGGGAGGGGAGTGGAGGAGAAAGGAAGAGAGGGAAGGAAAGGAGCAGGGGAGAGGAGGGGAGAGGAAAAAGTATGCAAGCAAGGAAGGCCAAAAGAGAGGGAAGGAGAGAAGATAAGAGAGAGGGAAAGAGGCAGGCAGGCAAACACCACACTTCAGGAAACAGCTACCATAGAACAGATACATCAACTTATTTTAAATTCTGTTAAAATATCTAATGCAGATGTTATATGGAAAACGTGTGTGTACACAAATTTATAAAGAATATTTCCCAGGGAGAAAAGTTCAAATTTAAAACAGTAAGTATATGATGCAAACTGGCAATCCCCAAATGTGACATCGTATTGCTGTCAATTAACTGGCTAGAATCAAGAATGATCTTTCTGTGCACAATATTACCACTGGTATGACGTGTCACTATAAATCCACTGCTCACGTCATCAAGGATGGAGACCCTTGCGTAGGCCTAGAAAACCGCCTCCTGCTCTGCTGTTAGTCAGCTTCTAGGGACAGGACTAACTTCTTCACAATGCTTTACTTGATACAAAGAGAGGGGGAGGGAAGAATTATTTGTGTCCCTCAATTTTCTCCTTCTGCTTATGGTCCATAAGAGCCCCAGCTACAGTTCTTTTCCTTGAATTCCAACAAATAATCTGTATTCCTTATTAAAACTGTTCTTCTTTTAAGCAGATTTTAGCTCCTTGCAATCAAAACAGCCTAAAGAAAGCAGGCTTTAATTTGAAATTTAAGAGCCTGGGATGTCTAAGCAAGCCAATTCTAAAGCATAACAATGGTTCTTAAAAAGTACATTGAAACATTCAACCTCTTAATCAATGCTATTCATGAGTATCGTCTATTTTGAATCACAGAATACGAGCCAAAATGCAGTCAGAGAAAATACATTCCATTTATGTAGAAATCGTCATTCTCAACACGAGAATGCCTGTGAAATTACAAAACTGCATTTAACTACATTTTCTGTGACAGTGGCTTTCAAGCCTATTTTAAGAGACAGAACATTCTTCCAACAAAACCCCAGGTTCACGGCCAAGGGAGAGCTGAAAAGGAGAGCTGCTCTATCTGAAGCCTGTGCGCGTGAATGCCCACGTGAGCCCACATCCTGCTGGAGAGCTACTCTCCTCTCCTGACAATACGCCTTGAGCAATCTCCACAGAGCACCGTGGCCACGTGACTTAGAGCCTGAAAACCGCTGTTAGGAAAGTCAGCCACCCCTCCATGTTGGCACATCCCAGGCACCATGTCGATCACCTGTGTACTTACTTACCTGTGAGCTTTGAATTTTTTCCCATCAATATAAATATCAATATCTGGACAACAATGCTTCAGATAAAGTTTCAACAAGTCTTCTCCTAAATCAGATGCCGGTTCTAAGTCATAATTATCTTTAAAAGAGAAAAATACATTAAAAAAAAAGTTTCTCTACTTTTACATGCAAAAAATATTTTCTTATATCAGTAAAGGGGCTACCCATATAATTATTTCAATTAGCTAGAATGTTTAAGCAGCAAATCTAAAATAATATAAAAAATAATAAATCATTTATACTTGTTTCTACTTTGAAATATGTACATCTACTTATACTTAAATATAGATATGCCTTTAAACATATTATCACAAAATTATACATCAAAAATGAATTTGCTTCAGTAATATGTAAATCAGAAATATTCCCAATTTTTATATGCTTTCTTGTTACTAAAGTCCTTCCTGTCCTCTTAATGAATGTATGGCTGGAATACTATGTGGACTGATAGAAATTCATCTGAAATAGTAAGAGTTCTTACTGTATGTGAGTACTTCACACAGTATGAAGCAGTGTAGAAAATAAGCATTTTTCCTCTGTTTCTTTTTATATTTTCTACCTTTTTTACATCACAATTCTTTTAGTTCAAAATCAGAGAACATATTATCACAGAAAGCTAGTGGAAAATTAAAAAGCCCTCTAGGCTAATACAATTCCTTAGGGCTTCCTGACAAAATAAGACAGAAGGATGGAAACTGCTCCTGTACATCTGCTTCTGCTGTTTCATGCAATAATTAGAAAGTGTCAAGGGAAAATACTTAAATATCTTGAAACAAAAACAATCAGAGTCCTTTTTATGGTGTATATTACATTTTTTTTTTCAAATTTCATTTTATGACACAGTTTCATAAGCCTTGGGATTCCCCCAACCCTTCCAAAAAGCCCTTCCCCCATACTGGGTTCCTCCACATTGTTACAGTGGTACAGCTCATATCCAGTCATGATTCCTTCATTGCAGGCATGGACCATGCAGAGTCCAGCAACTTATTGTCCAGATGAATTCAACAGTTTCATTGGAAGACCATCCCTGGTCTGAAAGTAGAGCTGGCAGAATATCATCCCCTCCAATGAAAAGCCACAGCACAACTTCAACAACCATTATTTACAACATCATGAAGTTAACTGACATGGTATTGCGTGACCAATATGTTAGAAAATGCAATTTTTTAAAAAAATTATAATGTTTACTTGAAGTGCATAGTTAGAGAATCTTCTATCCTCTGGTTCACTGTATTCCTTCAGCCAGTACCTCTGATGAAGATCAGCTGCTGGTGACAGATTCCCACTAATCAAACTAAAAATCTGAAATGTAAACCGCAATGCCAATACCGGGGCTTCCACCGAGATCCCGCCACCACACACGAGTCAACACGTCCACTGCTACCTCCTCATCCAGGCTACGAACATCCCTCAGCTGCATTTCTGCACTAACCTTGTAACAGCCCTTGCACTTTTGATACACACAATCCAATTTCAACAAAGCACCCAGGGCAATTTTTAAAATCCAATATTCACAATGACCCACCCTAGTCCATGCCTTCCTAAGGGTCTATTTCATTTATGGTTGGCTGGGCAGAGTATGCATGGCCTGGGTATCCCATTTGTCAATGGCATCTGGAATAGGGACAGTCTTATAGGAATAAGCATTTAACTCTTAATTGCATCAGAATTAAACTACCAGACACCAGCTGGTGTCACAGAATTGGTTGGCATGGGAAAAAAAATTCCACAACTCAAGTCAAAAGTGGCATGAAGAAAATAAACAACACAATCATAAAAACCCGAAACTCAATGTGTTCCAACCAGAAGTCACCGTTCCACTCAACCCTAAATTTGCCCTCCTTGTATTCTTGAAGACTATGAAACAATGCAATGCAAACTCCTTAACATGGCGTAAGAGTAAGGTCACTACATATTTTGGTTTACCTTGGATGGTCCTGTTGCCACAGGATAATTATCTAAGGCCACCTTTTCACTGTAAAGGTACTCCTGCAGGGGCAAGATGGCTCTGCATCACCTGGTTCCCACTCACCTCTGCAGGCCCTTCTCTTCCCTGTGATCATTTCTGTCCCTTATCCCCTGCTCCAACACACTCTCAAATATTTCTGGTTTTCCAAATAGGCCACATGCCTGGCTTCTCTCTCTGCTCTCCAGAGTAAAGCCGACTAAAGAGAAATTTTGAGATGTTCTAAAACTACAAGCAAGTGGGTAGGAGGCAGAGGAAGTTAATCAGTTAAGAGCTGCCTCTTGGCCCAGCACCACGGCCTAGCAGCTTAAGTCCTCACCTTGAATGCACCAGGATCCCATAATGGGCACTGGTTCTGATCCCGGCGGCCCTGCTTCCCATCCAGCTTCCTGCTTGCGGCCTGGGAAAGCAGTCGAGGAGGCCCAAAACCTTGGGACCCTGCACCCGCATGGGAGACCTGGAAGAGGTTCTGGGCTCCTGGCTTCAGATTGGCTCAGCTTCAGCCATTGCAGCCACTTGGGGACTGAATCATCAGACAGAAGATCTTCCTCTGTCTCTCCTTCTCTCTGTATATCTGACTTTGCAATACAAAAAATAAATCTTTTTCTAAAAAAAAAAAAAAAAGAGAGCTGCCTCTGAAATCAACATAAAGACTCTACATTGAAACTTTGACCTAATCCCCTCACAATTTATGTGTAAATTCTCTGAACTGTTAACCCTAACCAAAGTAAAGCAAAAATACTTTTCCTTAGAGACTGCTCTTTTATCCCAAAGCTTTTCCCCATTTCCTGCTAAACTGCTCTTCTTCACTATTATCAATATAGGTTCAATGTAACATTCTTTCTTCTCCCACAGTTTATAACAATATCTTTAGCTGTAGGTCCAGCAGAAATTTTCCAATTGTTACTTAGTATTTTTTTGGTGGAAGTTGCAGGAATTTGTCCTAGGTCCTGGCCCTTTGTTTTTCTGGCTAGCATTTGTGAGGACTCTGTAAGCCCCCTTCTCCAAGGAACCATAGGTTTCAGGAGTTTTGGTTCAAGGTAGTCATATTGTTTCATTTGCTTATAATACCTCTTGCTTAAAATGTTTTTGCCTTCTTTGTTGGGAGTAAATGGCAGATGGGATTTAATTCAGAAATCATTCTTTCCATGTAAGTTTTCTTTGGAAGCTAAGTTCAGGTTACATGTGCCCTTCATAACATCTTGTACATAACTTACCTGATTATACCTCCCTTTAAACTGAAAGACAGAATATTGTTCACTCTTATATCTTTAAAAACTTAGCACAAAGTTGATACCAAAATTAAAAATGTGATGAATGATTAGGATAGCATTCTAGAAACAAGTAGCAAGTGTAAAGGCACAGAGATGGCAAAACACAGTTCTATGGGGAATCATCAGGTAATTCCATAAAACAATAGCTTAAGGAATATGCGGAGGTTCTGAAAAGAGAAGGCAGCAGAGTTCTATCCAGGATCCCATTCACAAAGTTCACTGATAATATAGGAAGAAATCTGAAGTTTTAGTTAGGGCTGTGGGAAACAACTCAATACATTTTTTTAAAGATTGGTTTTATTCATATGACAGAGAGAAGGAGAGACAGAGATCTTCCATACACTCGTTCACTCCCCAGATGGCCACAATGGCCAGGGCTGGTCCAGGCTCTGCTATGCGACAAGGGTGCCCCAAGTGGTGGCTTAATCAGCTGCACCATGACGCCTACAACTTAGGTTGCAAATTCTCAAAGAAAAGGGAAAGAAATGGCAGAGAGAGAAGAGATTTAAGGGTATTTGGGAGGGAAATCAAACATGGTCATGAATTGAATGAGAGGGAGGAGGGCATCTGAGCAGGAAGACAGTGACATAATTCACACACATGGAGCTTTCAGAGGAAAGCTAGTTAGGAGGCAGGCACTTGATAGAACAGCCAGGCTCCTGCAAGAGATGTCCACATCTCATATTAAAATGCCAGATGCAAGTCCCAGCTCTTCCATTTCGCATCCTATTTCCTTCTAAGGTGTATACTGGAAGGAAGTGGGTGATGGCTCAAGTACTTGGATCCCTATCATTTCTGTGAATGCTCCTAGCATTCACCTGGCCCAGCCCCTAACTGTTGCAGACATTTGAGGAGTGAACTTGCAATGGGAGACCTCTATCCAGCTTTCCAAAACAAAAACAAAGCAAAACAAAACAAAAAACCACGAAACTAATTTAAAAAGAAAAAAAAAAGAGCAGATAGGGAGAAGCAAATGGTTAGGATACTTGGAGACAGACAGCTTGAATTTGATATTTAAAGATCCATCTAGCCAGGGTTTGGATGCAACATACAGGAAAAACAAGAATTGCATTTCTTGAGAAAGGGCAGAAGATACATCAGTGAAGAAGATAGGAATGAGCAAGAATGCACATCAGGAGATCATGGTCTCACTGAAGACAGGAGGGTTACTAGGAAGACACCAGTGACAGGAACGTCTGCCAAGAGGTCATACGATGGGAACAAGAATTGTGTGAAAGTAGCATCTGAGAGGTCACTGGGGACCACAGGAGCTTTCTATGCAGTGACAGAGAAATTCATCAAAGAACAAGGGGCTAAGGAGCTCTTTCCGCTGAGAGTCACAACTTCTTAGGCCACATGAAGAGGCTGTTGTGGGGTCAGGGGAGAGCTCTAATCTACAGCAGAAGAGCAAACACGAACTCTGCCAATCGCTCTGCATGGCCTCGGGAAGCTTTCTATGCTCCCTAAGTCTTGGGGTCCTTAGCTCTACAGTGCATCAGAAAGACAGAAGCTTACCTCCCCTGACATCCATGTACTTTCAACCCTGAGTCATCAAACTATCTTCCATTCCTTTCCCATCCCCAGAGAAGATTCAACTTCCAAACAAAGAGCTGTCTCTCTCTCTGAAGACAGGCAGATCATCCAGCAGTACATAAAAGCTTTGTTCCCTACGTGTGTTGTTCCTCTCCAGTATAACTTCCCACTCCTTGGGCAGTATACATCAGGCCCTTACTGCCTCTAAGGGCTCAAGGTCCAACAATTGGCCCTAAGACGCTCTGTGAATAATAAAGGATCTGTCTTGTGATCCAGAGACTACAAGTTTTCTGTCAAAATCTAAATCACTCTATACATCTTCTATCTATCTACTTAGCACCTTCTTTACATCAAGTCCCAATGATGTACAAGCTACAATACTTCTGACACCAACCTCCACAAGCAAACTAATTCAAGTCATTTTCAAAGTAAAATGTCGTATGTTTTGTAGGCATTTTTAATTTTTCTTAATTTCATGTTTATTTATTTGAAAGGCAGAGTTACATAAAGACAATGAAAAAGAGAAAGAGATCTTCTATCTGCTGTTTCATTTCCCAGATAGCAACAGCTAGGGTTGAACCAAGCTAAAACCAGGAGCCTGGTCTCCGACGTGGGTGCAGGGGCCCAAGTCCCTGGACCATCTTTCCCTGCATTTCTAGGCACATTAACAGGAAGTTGGATGGGAAGTGGAGCAACCTGGACTCAAACCAGTGTCCCTATGAGATGCCAGTATTGTAGGTGGAAGCATAACCTGTTATCCTACAGGGCTAACCACCACCACACTTTTTTTTTTTAGCAAAAAGATATATTTATTTATTTTCAAGTCATAGTTAGAGAGAAAGGAAAAGACAGATATCTCCCATTCACTAGTTCACCCTCTAGGTGGCCATAACGACTAGGGCTGAGCCAGGCCAAAGTCAAGACTCAGGGACTTCATCCAGGTCTCCCAAGTGGCCCCCAGGGGCCCAAACATTTGTGTCACCTTTTGTTGTTTTTAATCAACCCATTAGCAGACAGCTGGATCAGAAGTACAGCCATAGGGCACAAGAAATATGGAACGCTGATTGTGCAGGCAGTAGTTTTTCCCACTACATTACTACAGCAGATTCTATAGGCATTTTCTTAACCATTTAACATAGTAAAATTAGTTTATCACTTTTATTGGGTCCCTGACTTTTTATAATATGTTACAAAAAAGCTTCTGTGTAACAGCAATTTTTGTGTTGCTGTTGCATGGGGTTAAAAAATGCATATATCAGGGCCTGGCGCAATAGCATAGTGGTTAAAGCCCTCGCCTTGAATGCACTGGGATCCCATATGGGCACTAGTTCTAATCCCACCAGCCCTGCTTCCCATCCAGCTCCCTGCTTGTGGCCTGGGAAAGCAGAGGAAGATGGCCCAAAGCCTTGGGACCCTGCTCCCACGTGAGAAACCCGGAAGAGCTCCGAGCTCCTGGCTCCTGGCTTCGGATTGGCTCAGTTCCAGCCATTGTGGCCACTTGAGGAGTGAACCTTTGGATGGAAGATCTTCCTCTGTGTTTCTCTTCCTCTCTGTATATCTGCCTTTCCAATAAAAATAAATAAATCTTTAAAAAAAAAAGAAACGCATATATTACATCACAACAGAACTGACGATACTTCTCTAAAGCTTCCTTATTGGTATAGATTGGAATAAGGACAGTGAGATATTAACACTTAAATGGTCAAAAGAAGAATTGAGGCTTATTTATAGATACATTCATAACAATCTCATTCCAAATAACTTGGAAAAACCGGGCATTACTGACATTAAAACTTTCATTTTCCCATGTTTATTTTTATAAAAAGACAAGTAAATACACTAGATTTTTGAAATATGCATTTCTCCAACTACATCAGAATATAATTTTATGGCTCCAACATTTTATAAATATCCAGAAAAAAAATACCTCACCATTGGAAATTAAGTTGTCATCTTTGTCTTTGATGTCCTCTGGAAGTTCAGGTTGTTGAAGAGAATGGTCAGATGATTCTTTAGAATTTGGAAAATTAAAGTCCAGTTCATTTTGTGATAGGCCACTCTGCACTATCTTTTTTCTAATATTTTGCTCTTCATAGTTTGCTATGTTTCTGTTTGATGAATACACAATCCTAAAATGCAAAGTATAAAATACTAATTAACATCAGTGACACTTAAAAAATGAAAGCTACTTCCAGTGTGTGTTGACGTTATCTGTCTAAATGTCATATAATTTAAAAATATGTATCATAATTATATGTGATAAATATAGATTATTTACACATGTCTACATATTTTATGTAAATCTACATGCCACATAAATAGAACTTCATGTAAAACGATTAATCTAAAACAGAAGAAAGTTTGAAAAGTAGTCTATAAAATTTTTCAACATTAAAAAGCAATACCTAAAGCCAAAGAATCAGACCATCTAAAAGAAATGGCGAGTCCTAGAAAGACATGGGCTATCAAACCCAACTCAAACAGCACTATCAAGAAAACTGATAATTCACATAATGAGAAAATTTCTATATGTCTGCTAGTAGGCAAATACTACAGAATACATAAAAACTCTGATAAATCAATACTATAAAGTAAACTCAATTAAAAATATGAATAAATAGTTCCACAAAGAAGATAAAGACATAGCTAGTAAGTACATGAAAACGTGCTCAACGTCATCAGCTATCAGGGAAATACAAATTACCCACGATGAGATACTAGTTACATTCACCAGGATGATGACATTAAGAAAGCCTGAAAATAACAAGTACTGTCAAGCATACAAAGAAACCACAACTCCCTTCTATTGCCAGTACGAATATAAAATGGTAAACTGGTACTGTTCCTTTGCAAAGTCTAGTGGTTCCTCCTAAGATCACAGAGTTGCCGGCCCCAGCAATCGCCCTCCTACATGTACACCCAAGAAATATTCAAACATAAGAACAAGAACTTGGGCCCGATGCGGTGGCCTAGTAACTAAAGTCCTCTCCTTGCACGCCCAGGATCCCCTATGGGCACTGGTTCTAATCCCAGCAGCCTTGCTTCTCATCTACCTCCCTGTTTGTGCCCTGGGAAAGAAGTGGGGGATGACCGAAAGCCTTGAAACCCTGCACCCGAGCAGGATACCCGGAAGAGGCTCCTGACTCCTGGCTTCAGATCAGCTTAGTTCTGACCACTTGGGGAGTGAACCAGCAGACAGATCGTTCTGTCTCTCCTCCTCTCTGTATATCTGACTTTCCAATAAAAATAAATAAATCTTTAAAGAATGGAAACTTACATATGAATGCTCCTAGCAGCATTAGTCATCATAACCAAAAAATGGAAACATTAATGAATAGATAAACCAACTGTGGCATGAACATTCAATGAAGTAACATTTGACAATAAAAAGCGAAGTACATTAAATTAGCTTCTTCCACTATTTAGTTAATAATAAATTTCTGAGTTAAGTAAACATTTGAGCCCCCAAATCACTAAGGAGTTCAGCCAGAGACCAGGGTTGTGGCATAGCCAGTAAATCTGCCACATGTGATGCCAGTATCACACATGAGTGGTAGTACACATCCTGGCTGCCCTATTTGCAATCCAGCTCCCTGCTAATGTGCCTGGGAAAGCAACAGAACATCGCCACAGTGTTTCGGTTACTGTCATCCACTTGGAAGACTAGGAAGAAGTTCCTGGATCCTGAGTTTGGCCTGGCGTCTCCCCGTCTGGGGAGGGAACCAGCAAATCAAGATTTCTCCATACTTTTCTCTCTCCGTAACCCTGATTTTCAAATAAATTGTCATTTTAAAAAGAAGTTCAACTGATATTCTACTTTCAAAAATGTTCACAGAACCCTGGCTAGGGTTCTCTAAATGTTCATATGGTTAAAATTTATACATTGATAGTTGAATCTTGGGCCAGGCACAATGCCCCAGTGGCTAAATCCTTACCTTGCACGTGCCAGGATCCCATAAGGGCACTAGTTCGTGTCCTGGCTGCTTCCCGCTTTCCATCCAACTCCCTGCTTACTGCCTGGGAAAGCAGTCGAGGATGGGCTAAACCTGTGTGACCTTGCATCTGCATGGGAGACCTGGAAGAAGTTCCTGGCTCCTGGTTTTGGTTTGGCTTAGATTCAGCCATTGAGGAATGAGCTAGCAGATGGGAGATCTTTCTGTCTCTCCTTCTCTTTGTAAATCTGACTTTCAATAATAATAAATAAATCTTAAAAAAAAAAGTTAAACCCTAATGTGGTACTATAACAGAGGAGGCATTTTGCATTTGGTAGGCCCTAATCTCAGAAATGGGATTAGTGCCCTTACACGAGAGAAACAAAGGAGTTTGCTTATCCCTCCTACCACATAATGAGACAGAAGGTACTATTCATGGGCGACAACCTCACAGCAGACACCCAACTTGGGGATGCCTTGACCTGGGACAACCCCCACCGCCCCAGTCTCTGGAACTGCAAGCAGTAAATTTCTGTTGTTTATTAGTATCTCAGCCTAAAGTACTTCACTATAGCAGCCTAGATAAAGAAACTAAGAAGTTTCGACAATGAAATATGTGATCTTACATTTTTTAGAAACATAGTTTATTCAAAGCGTCACATGCTAATCACACAGAAGTCAATCTGGGGACAAACTGTAGCCCAGAGTACATCTGGCAATGTCTAGAGACATTCTGGTCATTATAACTAACCGTCCCTACAACACAGTGTCCCAGCCATTCCTCCTCCCCCAGAACAAGTCTTCATCAGCTCAGCCTCTGCTGATACTATCCCTCTAACCATAACTCTCAGCCTCCACTAAGACGAGTTAGAAAGATGACTTGGAATTTCAATGAGTAACTTTGCCTCATATTAAAACACAGGATGTTTAAAAACCAATCATTGTCCAGTCTGAGTATTCACTTAGACCTAAAACCAAGGGAAAAGATTTTACTTACTGTAAAAATGCTCTAAATTCTGAAGCTTCAACATTCTCCAGAGCAACAGACTTCTGATCTGCTGAATGACTCGATAGCTGTCCAATAGTATCAAGGCAGAAGTCAGGCACCCTTGCTAAAAGGACTGCTCTGTGTGCTTTGAACAAAGTGCCACCTACAGAGAAAGTCACGTCGGCATGAATTTCTTCCGTTAGAAGCCTGTGCAGAGCAGAAAGACATCACAGTTCATTTGGTGGTGTCAAGAAAGATACAATACATTTAGGATTAAATTTCAAATAACAGACAAGCTAAAATAGGAAAAGGTAATATAAAATGAAAATACTAGCATAAAAGTGAATTTATTCTGTTTTTGTCCTAAGAACATGGTTTACTCTGTATCCTAGAATCTTAATTTTCTAAAATTTATAGTTGAAATCAAAGTGATTTAAATAAATCAGTACAATCACTTTTGCAAAAATCTTTTCCTATGCATTTCTTCCGATAACAAAATTTATATTCTGCTACTTCTGTTGATCTGTCCTTTAAAATGTATCCTCTTTAGATCTATTTTGAAACATGAAGCCCAAAGTTAACATAGTTATACTAATAACTACAAAACTCTTTTTGGGAATCTTATCAAAATTGAAGCAAACATGAATAGTCAATAACACAGCATAACAAAATGGGCACAATAGACAGTTCAGATTAGAAACGGGTACACTTTGTTCTGTCTAACATTAATGACAGAGTCTGCGGTGTACCCTTGGCTGTGTAGAATGTGACATCTAGCCCTCTTCCACGCTTCTCCCCCTGTCAACAGAATTCATTATGCTCTAATCTATTATTAAAATGACGGTCTCTGGGGTAAAACTATCCAATCCTTTACTAATGTATAGGCATAGTTCAGGAAAGCCCACTGACTGCATGCTTGTCAAGTGCGGGAGAACAGTATCATTACACAAAGTGTCATCATCTTTTGTCCCTTAGCAGTAACTACATATTTTCACTGTCTAAATACTAAATCATATTTCATATCACTATAACAATATCAGCAGCAAGGGATGTACTCTCAGAGGCCTCTTGTATTACAGGACATAATTGGTAATCATACCAGGATACTACAGCAGATACACATCATGGATAAAGATACCCATTACAGTGAAAGCTTGGAAAGCTGCCAATGACTCTCACACTCCCACAAGAGCAGGTTAATGGAACCTTCCAGTAATCCCATCACACTGGGTACATTCCTCCATTACAGCACCTGACATTGCATCATTATTATTTTTATGTGTCTCTCTCCCTAAAGGACAATGAATTCCCCATGAGCAAAAACTATGTCCTCAGTATATAGCCAAGGGTCCTAGCTGCTTGCTAATGACCCTACTTTACCCTCAATAGAGCAAATGCTTCTGGGCATAAAACCTTCTAGAATATTGAAAGCAATGAAGTTATATCCTGATTTGGCCAATATTCTCATCAATAAATTATTATCACACATAATATTTAAAATTAAAATTTAGCTAAGAATAACACTTACACACACACACACACACACACACACACCCTTCCATCTGCTGGTTCGCTCCCCAGGTGGTCATAATGGATGAGGCTGGGTCAGACTAAGGTCAGGAGCTTCTTTCAAGTCCACCTGTGTGGGTACAAGGGTCCAAATACTTGGGTCATCCTCCACTGATTTTCTAAGGTAAAACAGTAACTGGCTGCATGGGAAGCCTGAACACCACCAGCACCAATATGGGGTGCTGACTCACCAGGTGGTAGTACTACACACTATGCCCCAGCAACAGTCCCAAGAGGTGGACTCATAAGAGGTGACTGGGGTGTGGGAGCCTCACCCTGATGTATAGCATTGGTGCCATTACAGGAGGGCAGGTCCAGCTCAAGTTCCAACTGTTCCACTTCCTATCCAGCTGCCTGCTAATACAGTGAAGAATGGCCTTAAGTGCTTGAGCCCCTTCACCCACGTGGGAGGTCCAAAAGTTTTTCACTCCTGGCTCTGGACCAACACAACTCTGGTTTCTCCCTCTCCTTCTCTGTAACTATCTCTCAAAAAGTAAAAATAAAAATAGTACACCTTAAAAAAATTCTACCTCTTAATGTTATTACAAAGGAATTAAATTTCAACTTGAGTTTTGGAGGGGACAGTTAAATCATAGCATTTAAATCATTTTAGACTGCTAATAAAACCCAGTTTTCACTAATATTCAACACATACTATGGAATATGTACTAGGTACATAAAGATGACTAATATAGTAGGGAAAACAATCCTGAAAACTAAAGATTATAAATATAATATTATAAAGATATATTCAGTGAACAAGTAAATTTCTTTTCTGGGACAGACATAAGCAAAGATCTCATACAGGATATGAAAATCAATAGGACACTGAAGATTGAGCAACAGCTGGTTAGGGTAGGAAGAGGCTACCAGCTCCAAATTCCTTATAAAGGTGTATGTGGGTCCTGAACAGACATTGGTCAGTAGAAGTGACAGATGAAGATGCAGGGATAAACCAACAGAGGTTGATGAAGTGTTACCAAGTAGTTTGAAACTAGATAGCCTTATTTTTCAAAAGATAAGCTATCATTAGGGAAGGAATTAGAGAAAAATGGGAATGAAGATGAGAAAACTATTGTACAGCACAAGTGAATGAGGTAAGTGACTTGAGTCAGGACAGGATCACAAGGATCAACGGTGACCAGATGGAATTAACATATTGTAGTGCAGCAATTAAGCCACCACTTGTTACACAGGCCATAACAGAGCACGGATTTGAGTCCTAAATATTCTTCTTCTGGTCAGCTTCCAAAGTAATGCAGCTAGCAAGGCACCAGAGGATAGCCCAAGTATTTCAGTCCCTGTCACCCAGGAGGGAAACAAGAATGGAGGTCCTGGCTCCTTGTTTAAATCTGGTCCAAATCTTGCTGTTGTGGCTATTTCAGGAATAAACCTGCAGATGGAGGACATCACTGTCTCTTGCTCTGTCTCTCTCTCTGACTTCTACCTTTTAAATAAATACTTTTAAAAATAGTAAAATATAAAATAAATGTAGGCAGTAACACTGACAGGAGTTAAGGTCAGGCTTGTGGCAAATCAGGTTAAGCTACTGTCTGCAATGCTGACATCCCATATAGGTGCTGGGTCAAGTCCTGGCTGCCCCATTTGATTCAGATCCCTGGTGGTACACCCGGGAGAGCAGTGGATGGCAGCCCAGTGCTTGGGTCCCCATCACCAAAGTAAAATACCTTGCTGGAGTTCCTAGCTCCCAACCCAGTCCTGACTGTTGCAAGAATTTAGGTAGTGAACTAGAGGATAGATTACTTTTTCTCTTCTCTTTCTCTCTCCCTCTCTCTATGTCTCCTGCCTTCTCCTCTCTCTCCCTCCCCAGTTCTACCATTCAAATAAACAAATCTGAAAAGTAAAATTGGCAGGAAAAGGTAAGAGGAAAGAAATAACTGAGGCTGTCTCTCAAATCTGGCCTGAATAACTGGGCTCTGGCAATCCTACTGTTTAATTTTTATCTGCTAGTCCAGTTTCCCCGCCCAACTCCAGACACATTTCCAATGGTCACCTGTACAGTCTTTCTGAAGTCATTATAACTCTCCCTTTCAAATTGCTAAGGTTTTGGGCAATCTTCCTTTCTTCCCCTCCCTCTCCCCTCTCCTTTCTTTTCCTGTTCCTTTACAATTAGTCAGCTACCAAGACCATCAATTGTTTCATCCCCAGTGTCATTATAGGTCACATATAAAATCTCCTGGTTGATCTCTATTTCCAATCTCTCCTTCCCTTAAGCTCAAAATATAAACTTGTTGCTCTCCTATTTTAAAGGCACCAATATTTACCCAAAACCCCCAGAACACATTCCCAACATCTCTCTGGAAAAAAGCCTCTGTGGTCTCACCTGAGTCTAGCCAGTGCTCCTTATGGCAACACTCTGAGCACATGCCACACTCATCATCTTCTTCCAAGAGGAACTACTAAATACATATGTTTTTGGTATACTGCTGCCCATTTTATACAAGTGCTCCTATACTTAAACATGAACGATGGACTGAACCAAGGTAAGCTACTGGCCAATGTAGCTATTTAGGCAAAAGAATGCAAGAGATGTTGCCAACTGATGGTACTCTAAGGGCATGCCAAAAGCAAGTCCACAGTTAAAAAAAAAAAAGCCCATATAGAAACCTAAGGAGAGAAGCAGAGATAAATAGATGATATATTTGCACAGTTGTTACAGAGAAGGCCAAGTGCTTGGGTTCATAGTCTGATTTATATTCTAGTCATGAGACCTTGGCCAGGTCACTTTAATGTCTCTGGAACAAGAGCACTATGACTCTTACTCTAACTTCCTTAAGTGGTAATGATGGATATGTATGTGTATGTATATACACACATACGCAAACATATATACACATACACTCACACATACACACACACGTGTTCACCTAGTAAGATTCACGAGACGTAAATAAAACATTACAGGTAGCCCAGCATCGAGCCAACAGAATGGCAACATTACTATTTGTTTTTAACAATTACCCTGAAAAAATGGTATAATTTGCAATTCCCAATGAGGTATTAATGCATAGTTGTCATATTCTAGGCTTCTTTCCACTTTTACATTAGATCTGGAAAACAGTTTCCTGTTTTTCCTCACTTCGCCACACACAACATCACCTCAGGTAACCTGCAAGTGTCTCTAGCCCTTGTTCTTTGCAAGAACCTAATTCAACATGCATTCCCCAAATAAATAAGTCTCTTGGAAATCTTGGCATGCTTTCACCTTGCTTGGGTGTCTTCTAATTCTCCCTTCTCAATCAACCCTTACTCAATCCCCAAGTCACTCAACTGTCCCTACAGATTGTGTCCCCAAGTCACCCACCACCACTCTCACTTTAGTTTGGCCATTATCTCTCTTGCTAGAGTTTAAGCAGAAAAATCAAAGTACCATCTTCCTAACGCTTGATTCTTCAGGATCTAACACAGGGCAACGTACATATTAGAGCCAGGTATTTCAATAACATTTATATTGATATTGCTGTGCCTGGAGGTTAATATACCATAGCATTTAAGATGGCTGGGGAAGCACATGAAGAGTTTTGGCTGTCAAAACAGAAAGCCTGCTGTATCTATTTTTCCTCGTTTATAACAGGAACTTGAGGGTTCAGGATCCTATTCTCAGTAGCTACTAAGAAGAGGAAAATTTTTCCATCTTCACTGCTGTGTCAAACACCCTTAACTTAGCAACACTTGAAGGCTCACAGAACAGAATAAAGGCACTTAAAAGAGATTCATCCTAAAAACAGAACAACTACGGGGTTATTTTTTCCCCATCATTTCATAGCAGTTCCCCAGTGGAGAAAAAGCAACATTCTGAGTAGACGGACTCCAAAAGAAATCCTACTACTTAAAATTTGGTTTATAGCTACAAGATCTTTAAATGTGGGTGACTTTCTGACAGAAAGCTCTTCTGGATGACAGAATGCTTCACAAATGGTTATTTTTAGTAATTAGGTTTACTCCAGTGTGTTCTCCAAGTGTGACTCTAGGTAACAATATGGAGCATCCTCTGAGACACTGTTACAAGCCCAGAATCTGGGACTGGCACCACAGTATAGTGTTAAGCTGCTTTAGGGCCATCATCCCATATGGGTGCCTGTTCCAGTCCTGACTGTTCCACTTCCTATCCAGATGGTCCAAGTGCTTGGGCCGCTACATAAGACCCAGCTCCTGGTTTGGGGCCGGGGCTTGAGAGATGCACCCATTTGGGTAGTAAACCAGCAAATGGAAGAAGCAAGACTCTCTCCTCCTTTTTCTTAGTTCAGCTTTTCAAATGAAACCTGTCTCTTAACAAGTTTATTGCTCAGGATAACCTAAACCACCGTTAAGGACCAATGTTTTGCTGGAAATGACAACCAGCTAGTAACAGATAGTATCTCTAGGCGTTATTTTCTTTGTAAACTAAAATGACTTGCCATTCTGAACAGCTGGCCACTTACATCCATAGGGTGTACAACAGTAAGGCAGACTTCCGTTTGCTTGGCTGTTCTGGAAGCTGCGGTTGCTGGGAGCTACAGTGTCCTAAGTGAAAGGCCAAGGCGTGCAATAAGGAAGCATTCCATATAAACATTTCTGTAAATTATTTAAAGAAGAGTGCACAAGAGAAAGTTCCTCGGGGCTTTCATAACTTGTTGCACACTTCCTCGATCCAAATAAATACTGATTTGTCTTTTTTTTTTTTAACTGAAGAAGCTAATTAAAAAAAAAAGTGTTTTAAGTTTCAGGGTCTGGATCAACCCTGACCTTTGCCATTTGTCATTCAAACACCCAGTGTGATCCCATCACTGCCCATAACTAGGGTATTATTTTTTGGTTTTCCTTTTGAATTTGGCACGCGGTGTCTGAGCGACTTGGGATTGGTTATTGGGGTGGGCGAGCGAAATGAGAGCCTGACAGAACTTGCTCTGAAGTCAAGAGGACCAGGTGGACGGGGATGGGGCACGGGGACGCTTGAAAGCAGTCCGAGGTCACGCCGCCTCCTACCTGAGCAGGTCTTGGCTGAGCTGCTCCGCCACCTTCGCCTTCAGCCGGCGCCTCTCACTGGGGCCCTTCCTTTGCAGCCCCTTTCCACAAACCCCAGGGGAGCCCAGAGGCGCCGTGGGGGCCGCGCCGCCGTCCCCACAGCCGGCCATGCCCCGCAGGCGCCCGGCCAGCCGCGCACTCCGCAGCCCTCGTCCCGCCCGCGAGCGAGAAGGGGGCGTTTCCGACCGAACACTCCACTCCTACCCGAATCCGCCCCCTAGGGTAAAAGGTGGACGCCTCCCGTCGGTGCCTAGAGCAGCCGGACCGCCCTGCGCGGGAACCTGGGCGGGACGCAGGCGCCGTCACGTGATCAGGAAGTGTGCGCAGGCGCACTGGCTCTGTTTTTAACCCCCGGGCTCTCCGCCCCTCGCGGGATGCCCATGGTTCCGCTGGGCAGACCCTTCCGCTGGCCCCTTATTGCTGCGGGTCTTTGCTTTTCAGTGGGGGTTCACCAATCGTTTCAATAAACGTTTTTACTGATTCCCAATTCAAATCAAAATGGGCAATCTTAACTTTGCCTTTCCGGGCATAGGTAAACTGCAAGAGAGAAAACAGACTTTTGGGCAGCCAGCTGCACTTCCTCAGCAGCTACTTAGTGTTTTAGGCAAGAAACCTTGATGAGGCAGGGTGCATGGGATTCATTTCTTAAACTCTGTCAGAGTCAGAATAATCCTGAGGGATTTTTACCTAAGGGATGTTTAGATCGTCTCTAAGATCCCTGTCCTCTCCAAGGGATGGTCCCTTTGGCTGCTCCTGGGTCTGAGAAAGTCAGGTTACAGAGCTTTGCTTATTAAAGCCCCAAAATTGACGACCCTTTGTAGGTGATTATTTAAACAGTTTTTTTGTGTGTGAGTTTTTTTAAAAAATTTTTTAATATTATGGTACAATTCTTGGAGTCTGGGACTCCCCCACCAAATTCCTACCTCCCCTCCGACTGATTTTCCCCATGTTGTTACAATAGCGTAGTCCTTCGTAGGAAGTCATGGTTCCATCAGTCTCATTATTTAAGTGTGGCTCGACATTGCTGGTACAGACAGTGTCAGACAGTCCAGCATCCCATTGTCTAGATATGTTCAGCAGTTTCATTGGGAGTTCATCTCCACTCCAATTTGGAAGCAGGGATGCATATTGCATTGTATCCCCACATCTGGATATGGTAGTCTCTATTACTCTATCACTATACATTCCCTTAAGTGAGAAGCCACGAAGTAAGGTCAACAATCAGTACAAATTAGAACAACAACAAAATTGTGGAATAAGGGATGCTTTTGTAGTTGTATTTCCTTCTCAAGCCCTGCACAGGGAAAGAATGACCACTGCTTGGTTGTGTAAGAACCGCTAGGAGGCCACTATTTCTCCAAGGAGTGTTCTCTCTCAAATTCAGAAATCTAAACTCTGGAAAATTCAATGGGATCATTTTAATTATTCCTGTAGAAAAGAGGAGTGTCATGGGTATTATAATAGTAGGGAGAACAGAGTGATCCTAAAGGAAACTCCTGGCAGAGTGGCCAGGAGAAGCATGTTGACCTTTCTGATGAGTGTCATGTACAGAGCTATTAAGCCAGGTTGGTTTGACTTTGATAATGTTCATCATAGGGTCTGTTTCGGCTGTATCCATCAGGAACAATACTGCATGACTCCTTTTCTAACCATTTCTGAAAACCTCCTTTTTAAATCAAGCAGTGGCATTCTTAGTATATTGTCTGAAAGTTCTTACTACCATTGCAAATCTAAAATTAGTAATCTCCAATCTACAAGAAACTCATCTTCCCCTGGTGATTAAACTCACCATTGTGGGCCAAACCAATGTATGTTCATTGTGTAATGATTTTTAAAAATCACCTGCATAGAAAACTTAAATTGTGGCTAAAATCTGACTGCTTTGGAACACTTTTCTAAACTGCTCGAGTCACATGTCTCATGGACTTGGGTCACTCATATTCTGCCCTAATAAATCTTACATTTAATCTTATTATTAAAGTTTATTTACTTTTAGTTATCAGAGAGGCAAAGTGCTGAGGAGAGAGATTAGGAGAGAAGGATAGTTGCAGGGTGTGAGCAAGATCATACCAGACATGTCTAAGGTTTATTAAAGAGTGTTTATTAACTAAGCTTGGTGATAATAGATTACAGTAGCAAATCACAAGTCCATACGGCAATCCAACCAATCATAATCCAATGAATCATAATTCCCAAAGAAACAAATGGGCATTATCCTTAAGTCTATCCCTTAAGCTGAAAACCTATGTCTTAGCTTCCCTAATAATATAAGTTATCCTAAGAGACATGCAACAAATAACCTGGACACACTTACAAAGCTGCAGACATTCACCTTTCCTTGGCTTCTCTGCTCACATTCCACTACTGCTAGGCCTCGCCTCTCCTGGAACTCCTGATGGTACACAAACCAGAAACAACATTATTATAACCGTTGCCTCATCTAAGCAGTACACAGGGACCATGCTCAGGAGATTACCTGTCCTGGGTCAGCCATGAGTCAAGGTGCCAGAGTAATGGAAGAACCTGGCCAGAAAGAGAGTGAGAGTCCCTGTTTCATGGGCCTTTTAAAGGGGCTTGTGAGGGGAGTGGTTACACAACAATACAATACCGTCCCCTCTCAGTTGATAGGTGAGTCACAGGTGGGCAAGTTCGAATACCTAAGTGTTGTGGGCTAAGAAATTGATTAGTGCTTGTTGGGATGGGCAGGAACAGGAACTGGGCTTGTTGCTAAAAATGCCTAGACTAATTGAACTTGTCTGCATCCAATATCCTGGCTAAATTAGGACATGGGGGAAGTGGTTGAGGATGGAATTATCATTCCATTGCTGTTAGGACCCATCTTCAGGACAGAGGATAGGGGACACAGCCAAATTTCATTTGCCCACTATCAATGGGTGCTGGGTATCACTGGCTGCACCCCATAACAGGATGGCTCTTCCACCTGCTGAGTCATTCCCCAAATGTTCACAATGGCCAGAGACTTGGACCAGGCCAAAGTCAGAAGCAAACCCCATTAGGTTGGCAGTTTAGGCTTAATCTGTTATGCCACAATATTGGTCTTGTTTGTTCCCCTTTGGGCCCACATCTGCTGCCTCCCAGAGTGCACATTAGCTGGCAGCTACATTGGAAACAGAGGCAGAACTTGAATCCAGGCACCCTGATATTGCATCAGATGTTCCAAGCTGTGTGTTGAAAAGAAAAAAAAAAAAAAAAAAAACTCTGTCTCAATACACATCCCACAGTAATTTTTTATATAGCCTGATTATTTTTGCCAGAGGTGGGTGACATTTGAAAGTTCTCTTATGTCACATCCACTGCTCTACTTGCTCCGTATATATTAACACAATCCTTAGAACAACCAGTTAAGTAGGTACTGGCTTGAGCCAATTGATAGATGAGGAAATTAAGGCATCCAGTGAATAAGTAACTTGGCCAATATCACACAGCTACTGATCAACCACATAGTATTATATTATATTATATTATATTATATTATATTATATTATATTATATTATATTATATTATATTATTTAGAAGGTCGAAGTTACAGCGAGAGAATCATGCATCTTCTGGTTGATTTTTTTTCCCCAGCCATTATGGAAAATAGTATGAATATTATTCAAAAAAAGTAAAACTGGTATATATCTATGTCTATCTATCTATCTATCTATCTATCTATCTATCTATCTATCTATCTCCCCTCTTCTGAGTATATACTCACATGGGATATGAAAGCAGCACCTTACATAAATAGGTACCCCATACCTTCATTGCTGCATTACCCATAATAGCCAGTATTTGAAAACAGCCTCAGTGTCCCTGGGTAGACCAATGGATATTATCCACCCATCTAAAAATAAATAAAGAAAGAAAGAAAAAACAAAGGAGATCCTGCCATCGAAACAACATGGATAAACCTAGAAGACATTGTACCAATGAGAGGGGGCCCTGAGACCCAACAGATAAAAGACCAAGTGGACTCCATTTTGAAACTTAACTTTACTCCTGATCAAACTTCTTTATTTCAATCTCTTGCCTGCATATTCAGACTGTTGAAATAAGATGTAGCACACGCTACTGAGGGCCCAGATATGTCTCAGTTTCAACTGGCCTAATCACACAAAAAAAATTCTAAAAAAAAAATTCAAAAAATCCTTTTTTGGTCCCTGCCCAGCAACAATAGTACAACAACAAAATACAACCAGTTTCAGCCCTGCCCACTTTGGGAAAACAACCCCAGGAAACATCATAAACATCCTTGGACTGTGAACCTCCACAGCTTGGTCCCTTTGCCACCAGCCCCTCCTGCCGCCCTTCCCTACTGTTTATCTAATAATGCTTTGTTCCACTTTTCACCACTGGTGAGAAGGCCACACTTAGCCTGTGAGGCCACAGCACCAGCCCCAAGGATATTTGTTGTTGTTTTGATCTAGGAACTAGATCAAAGTCAGAAGGAGCCAAATCAGGCCTGTAGAAGCTGGATGCCTAATGATTTCCCATGGAAACATTTGCAAAATTGCCTTTGTTTTAGCAGACTTAAGAGCAACGAGCAGGAGTGTTGTCTTAGTAGAAGTGCTCTCTGGTGACGATTTCCTGGGCATTTTTCTACTAACGCTTAGGCTAAAGTTTTCAAAACAATTTCACAGCGAATGTATGTTATCATCCTTTGGCCATCCAGGAATTCGTTAACCAAAGTGCCTTGAGCATCCCGCCACCTGTTGCCATGATCTTTGCTTTTGCTTTGACTAGATCAGTACCATCTCTAGGTAACCACCACTTTGTGCTCTGTCTTCAGGATCATATGGGCAAAGCAATACAAACTCCTGTGATAATTCTTTGAATAAAATGCTTTAGAATCTTAATCTTCTTTAAAATTTCCATCTTTGAAAGTTCTGCTCTGTGCATGCAGTAGATTTGGGGCACAACAGTTTTGGTACCCATGCAGCAGAACAGAAAGAAGCAGCGGGCAGGGGCGGGGGCGGGCGGAGAGGAAGAGAAAGGGATACACTTCCCATCTACTAGTTCACTTCTGGAATGGCTACAGTGGCTAGATTGGGCTAGACTGGAGCCTGTAGCCAGGAACTCCATTCTGGTCTGCAAAGCTAGTAA